TGTTTGTAAAGCATGCCTTGTTTGAAGGCGCGGGACTTTGGATCGTATTGCAGGACACGTGAAGGCCCTGGGCATCTTCACGCACAGCACATGGCTCTCTCTTTAGAACATGTATAAACTATGACTACTAACGCTCAGGTGCCCCGGGCAGTTACTTCTCCCTTCTGTCCCACGCACGTGCGCGGGCGCCCGCGCAGGCGCACATCCACTGTAGTGTGGCAGTCAGCGATGCGTGGCCGCCTATATTTTGAGAGCACCCATGCGAACCAGCCATTGTCAGGAAATACGGTTGATGCCCCTACTCTCTCCCAGGCACGGCGCTGGGCACGCTGAGACAGCAATACTGACACCACTCCATCTGCTCCCAGAATTCCCATCAGGAACATCTATACGTATCCAGGATCATGAGGAGTGCTTTCAAACACGTGAATGAACCAGCACTATCCTCAGGTTTGGGGACCGTCACCTTTGTTAAGCATGTGGGAAGTGCCAAGCTGGAGATGGCGAAGTGGTTTGGCCAAGGTCAAACCAAACCACACTGCGTGCCATCTAGTCAATGCCGACTCACAGCGATGCCCCGTGGGTTTCCAAGACTGTGTTTCCGGGAGTACAAAGCCCAGGCTTTCTCCCACTGAGCTGCTGCTGGTTTCAAACTGCGGGTCGTGGGGATCGCAGCCCAACGTGTAACCATTACATCATGGAGGCAGTGCTGGGAAAACGGCAAGTTAGCCCTGGGAGCCAAGGCACTCCCTGTAGGTTCAGCCTTTCCAGCACAGCCAGAGTGGCCTCCCTAGCCAATCTCCCACGATCTCAGATGAGGGAGGCCTTCCCTCAGAGCTTCTCTCAAGGCAGGACTTCACTTCCAGAACTCTCTTACTGAGCTTCCTGTCAGCCTGTGGGTGGAAAATCAACCACCTTCCTCTCTGTGAGAGGCCAGCAGGAGGCGGACATCAAGAGCCTTATCAAACCTTTGGGAGCTCTAGTGGTATAAGAGATTAAACACTGGGCTACAAACCACAGGGTCATTAGTTCAAAACCACAACCCACTCCACGGAAGAAAGATGAGGCTTCCTGTTCCCATAAACAGAGTCTTGGAAACCCACAGGGGCAGTTAATGCTACCCTGTCCTATAGGGTTGCTTAACTTGGATTTAACTCAGTGGCTGTGAGTTTTAGTGTGTTTTGATCAAACTTCTTGCTTTTCTATTGCCAACTGTCCAGATTCAGAAAATAATGGCACATGGTCCCTACCGTGGAAAACTGACTGAGATAAAATGCACTTGACTAGACAGTAAGCCACTTCTTGTTCACAGCTCTTCCTTCTGTCCAGTCCCTCCTCACACTCTGGAAATTTAGAGGCGTCAGTTCTGTGCCCCTGAGTGCATGTGAGCATGCTCAAGGCCACAGACAATGAAAATGCCCACCCACACCTTTGACTAAGGCCCCATTTTCCAAGAGGATTCCATGCAATACTGGGGCCAAGTGAGAAATGTGTCGGTCCACCCCAAGGCTCCACAGACAAATTGATTCATTGTATTCCTTCATTGGAGATTATGAATGGCCATTCAAATGGCAAAGGCTCTTATCAATTCTACCGAAAGAGACCTATTTAATTTTGATTCATCCAGCATTTCTCAATCGATTAAGCTATAAACCCGGTTCTCTATAAAACCCTTTTTGGAGTCCCTGGGCAGTACAAATAATTAATGTACTGGGCTGTTACCTGAAAGGTTGCTGGTTTGAATCCACTCAGAGGTGCCTTGGAGGAGCGTCCTGGTAATCTACCTCTTAAAAGTCAGCCCCTGACAACCTTCTGGGCAAGTTCTACCCGGACACACCTGAGGTCACCATGAGTCAGCACTGAGTCATTGGAAACTGGCTTGGGCAGCACCCTAAAAAAAGTCATTTCATGAGGTGCCCTGATGTTTCCACTCGGTCTCGCTACCATCTATTTCCACATAGCAGCCAGAGTGAGGCTTTAAAACTACAAACCAGACAGATCACCTAATTCCTCTTAAGAGTCCTTGCCTCTGGACTTCACAAATGCTGCCTTGTCTGCTTGGCACCCTACTACCTCCAGGGGGCGTCCCACTCACGCCTCATTCCAGCGGAGTCATTCTCAAGGGGCACTTCCTTCGAGGCCTTCCGTGACTCCTAACATCTCTCTACCCTGGGTTTTGGCATTCTTGTATGAACTCATTACCCCCCAACGACCAACACTGCTATGTCTCTTTTTCTGTTTGCGTGTTGTCTCACTCTCTCCACCAAACTGAATTCTCTGTGTGAGCATTTGCCACACTCCAGCATCTGGCCAATAGCAGATGATCAAAAGCTATCTGTTAGTAAAAGGACGAAGGAAAGAAGGAAGAGAGGAGTGGTTTTTCCAGCCTCCAAGGGGTCTCAGGCAAGAGAGAAGGGGGCTGGCAAGGAGTGTTGGTTTAGCAACTGGGCCTGCTGTGTGTTCATCGCTTCCCTCGACCCTGTGTTGTCCGGTAGCTGGGAATGGCAGTGAACTTGAGGTTCAGCTCCTGCCTCCTGTCTATCCTTCACAGCGCTGTTAGTGTTGTTGTGTTAGGGGCCATGGAATTGATGCTGACCCAGAGCAGGCCCACGTGACTAGGGCGAGTTGCCCCCACAGCAGTTCCTACGCTGTACTTTTGACAGGAGCAGGTCACCAAGTCTTTGTTCTGTGGCTTCACTGGGTGGGTTTGAATCCCCAACATTTCAGTTCACAGCCAAGCACTTCACTGTGGGGCGCCTAGGGTAGACTTCTCTACACTACATGCCGGCGGACATGGCCTACGAGAAGAATTTCCAGTAACGTCTCATGGCCTGGAAAGTAAAGGTCAAACCCTGTAGCCTTGCAGTCGAGACCCTCCACAATCATAACCGTCCCTAGATCTCCACCACTAGGAACTCTCCAACCCGGGGCTGTTTACCAGTTAAGTGGACGGACCTCTCCCTGCCCTCCCCCAGCCGTCTCAGCAGGGCCTGGTTTTCTCCCTCCCCACCTACTGACAGGCTATCATCTTTACTTCTCAAAGCCTGCTCTGGTCAGAAGGAAGTTCTACCCCCTCACTTTCCCACACAGCACTTGGCTCAGACGCCAGAAGCCCATGCTGATAGGGAGTGGCTGCACGGGACCCTCTCCTACCTCTTTCGGGTTTCCGTGGACTTGGCGGTCTTGATGGTGCTCCCGTCCGGAAGGACATCTCTTTCCTGAGAGGCGGGGGTGTCTCTGATGGGGAGTGGGAGGACCACAGTTTCCTGAGTCACAGGGATGACCTCCTCATCGGCCCCTTGCTGGCCCAGGTGCTGCTTGGCATAATCAAAGCCTTGCACTGGCTGTAGGGAGGAAATCGACATGAACCAGCTCTCTAGCAAGGCGACAGTACGGCAGGAAAATGCATGCAATGGGGCTGGATCTGGTTCTCCAATAAACGAGAGTTAGCGCAAGACCCCGTGGTTAGTTCTGCCTTTCGGTATCAAAATCGCAATAGATAAAAGTTGCTGGGGAAAATTACGTGTCTTAAGAAAGTTGGGGAGCCCTGGTGGTGTAGTGGTTACACATTGGGCGGAGATCTGCAAGGTCAGCAAATACGTGTGCAAGAGCAAACATATTTCAAGGATTTTAGAACATTTACTTTAAGTCCATGGAGACTGCTAATTGGGAACACTCTTAATGGATGTGCTAAAGCAGGCCCTGCAGAATCTCCTGCCTAGAAATACTGTATTGTCCCTAAATTCAGCTCTCAAGGAGCTGACAGGTGTGTGGCTTTGTCGAGCCCCTGGAATGACTGTAAACGTCAATGTTCTCATCTGGGAAATGAGGATAAATTTTATCTGCTTTATCTCCTGAGGATTAAAGGAAATTGCAGATCTGAAAACATAGATGTGCTGCAAGATGTGAGGCAGCACAATCATTAATAATAAAATGGAATGTATGGAATTACTCTGTAATCCAGACTTCTCCCATCAGCAGGCTGGCTCCCCTGTAACTCATTATAAAAAATGAGCAAGGCTTTTATGACACAGTGTTTTAAACCCCAAGTGAACAGGGCAGCTGTGAGCAAAACCCAAGAGGGATCTATTAATGGGGTAATAAAAGAACCCAAGAGGCATGTTTGAGCAACTTCTGGCAGGCCTCAGCTCCACTTTATGTCCTCAGGAAGCACAAGAGAAAATTTGAGCAGGGACAATGTGGTGATTAAGAGCCACAGCTCCCCGAACCAGACCGCCTGGATTCAAATCCTGCCTCTCCACTTCCGAGCTGTGTGATTCTAAGTTACTGACATCCTCTGAGCATCTGCTTCCCCATTTGTCAAATGGAACAGTCGTGTGAACTCCATGAACCGTGCGTGTACGTGAGAGTGAGGTTCAACCACCCTCCGGGGCTCCTTGGAGGATTCCACAAGTAAATTCATGCTCCATATTTCACTCAGAGGAACGATAGCAGTTATTATTGCCGTTCATGTTACCACTAATTCACAGTCTAGATGACAAGGCCACAGGCGAGTCTCTTCAAGGAAATGGAGGGATGAAACGCCACCAATTGAATTCGATCAGAAGTGGGTGTGATCAGAAGCTCCTCCTTCCACAGCTAATTTAGTGCAGAAAAGCAAGCAGGCTGAGATTTATGAAAGCTGGGGCCGCCCCATCAAATCTCACCACTGTGCCTCTGGACAGGATGGAATTACGAAACCTGTCAAAGCGGTCTCATTTATTTTTGAAAAACAGTTTTATTGGGGTATATTTTTTGTCCCGCTTGGATCCACAATCAATGGTCATGGAAGCAGCAGTCAGGGGATCAAGACAAGCTGTATTAGGCAAATCTGCTGCACAAGACCTCTTTAGAGTATTGAATTCAGAGCAAGAATGTTACTTTAGAGTACTGGATACTTTAGAGTATTGAATACTTTAGAGTACTGAATTCAGAGCCCCGAGTCATGGTATTCTCTATTTGCCTTGTATGGAGATGAAAATTGGATATCGAACAAGGAAGACTGAACAAGAATCCATGTATTTGAAGTGTGGTGCTAGAGCAGAATATGGAAAGTACCATGGCCTGCTAAAAAGACAAACTGATCTGTCTGGGAAAGAAATGCACCTGGAGCGCTTCTTAGCAGCACGGGTGGTGAGACTTCTTACATACTTTGCACATGTTTTCAGGAAAGAACTGTCCCTGAAGAAGGACATCCTGCTTGGACAAATCGAGGGGCAGGAAAAAGAGGGGGCCCTCCAGGAGGTGGGTTGACACAACACCTGCAACAATGGGCTCTAGCAGGAGAACAGTTGTGTTTTGTTCTGTTGTCCACGGAGGTGCTACGGGTTGACACTGGACTCAACGACGCCCAACAACAACGTTGGCATACAATTCATGTATCCTACAACTCGATAGTTCAGCTGCATCAATGAGTCGTGCCATCAGCACCACAATCAATATCAGAACATTTTCTTCGTTCGTGTGTTCAATCTTATTAGCTCCCCATTTCCCTCCGGACCTGCCCTGCCTCAGCCCCAAGGAACCATTCATTCAGTTACCGTCTCTACAGACTTACCTCTTCTGGATTTCTTGTACATAAAACCATAAAATCAACAACAACAAGCACCTAACAACAATAAAAAAACAAAACGGATAAAAACCTCAATTGAAAAGAAAGAAAATCTTAAAAGCTAGAAAAAATTTAAAATGGATCAAAAGGGGATCAGATGAAAAGGTGTTAAATTCAAGCCTAACGAGACCTACAATCCTCTACTTTCCAATACCTTCTGCATGACAGCAAGGCTAGTCACATCCCTGGTCTACAGTCAGAGGGGGGCTCTGCGTGGAGTCTTTGGGCGGGGCACATGGTTGCTGCTGCTAAGCTAAAGGTTGAGGTTCATTTCTACCCAGAAGTGCCTCGGAAGAAAGGCTTGGAGACCTCCTTCCCAAAAATGTCACCGTGCCCACCCTGTGGAGCACAGTTCTACTCTGCTCTGAAACCCTTGGGATTGCCAGTAAGTTTGAACCACCCGGGTGGTACCTGGTTTAGCGCTATGGTTTTGTCTTGTTTTAATTTTTGGTAGCTTTTCCATGGTGGATCCCTCCCATTCCCTAGGGCAACTCCTCTGGGAAGCATGATCACACTTAGAGAAGTCCTATACAACAGACGTGCTATTCTCCATGTGGAATGACTGGCCTTCTGGGATGTTGTGGAAACAGTGTTTCCGAAATGGAAACAAGGATCTGTTCTTTTCTCTCTGCTACGTTGGTGCCTTTCAATGGCTTGGTAATGTTCCTAGAAGACAGAATTGTCTGTTCTTCCCACACCAAGAGTTCAACCAATGGATTCAACTTCAGAAATGTTTCTTGAAGTTGATCTGTTTCTCTCCAGACTCACCTTTTCATTGTTTCCTGCCCTGGGGTGATGCTTCTAATTCATCTTTGCAGATCTACGCTTGACAAGCCTCTCAACACATCAGCCTTACAACCATGTCTTCTCCTGTTGCTCCCTCGTGAATCATGTCTGACAGCACCCAATTGCATCTAGAAAGAGATCTAAAGTCCTGCACAACCTGGCTGTGCCCACTTGCCCAGCCTCATTTCCTGTTGGTTCCTTCCCCGCTGTCACCCCACACATTTTCTCATTCACTTCAGCTCCAACAACCATGATTGTGCCTTATGTGTATTGCTGGAGATATAAAACTAAATAAAATGACAATGAATAACCAATGGTTTCCTCAAGGGGCTCCTGGTTTGGACCAGTTCAATCCTGAACATGACATGATGCATGTCATTGAATCTTCACCATCATTCAAGGAAGCTGGTACTGTGGCGTTATTTCCACTTCAGCCGCACCTTTTCCAACCCTGGTCTCTCCACATCCTTGCTAGTAGATATATGCATTATATAGAGACAGTGAATCCATGTATTGTCAATGAAGAAACTGAGGTTTCTAGAGGCTAAGCAACTTATTTAGGTTTACACAGCTCCTCTGCTATGGAACCGGATTTTAAACCCAGCTCTATGTGACCCAGAGCTTAAATATCGAAACACATGATTTTTCCCTTGACCTCTCCTTTCCTTCTGTAGTCTGCCACCTTGGATGGGCATCTCCTACGGAGGCTGCTGGCTGGCAGTAAGGCGATGAGCATCTCAAATGGCAGTAAGGCTTTCCATGATGCAAGTTGGCTCTGGTCCTCCCTCCCCGACACTCCCCATTCTCTCTGGGTGGAGCCCCTCACGCTTTACACTGGGTTGAGGTTGTACGCTAAGTATACTTAGCGTGTACTTCAGGTGATGACAGCTATGCAGCAAGTGAAATGCTAAGGGAGGACAAGCTGAAAAGGCAGCTATGGTCATTAGGTTCATAATAACCAGCAATCACTGCCTATCGTTGGTACTAAAAGCCTATAGAGCACTTACACCTCATTTCATCCTTACAAACATCCACGCACCTCACAAGGTCAAACATCACCACCTTCCTTGTACAGATAAGGCAACAGACACTCAGAGAGGTTCCGTGACTTGCCAAAGATCCCACAGCCAAGTGCCAACTAACCCTCTCAGTTTTTGGAGAGGTCACTACCTTAACTTGAAATTCACTTGAGATGAACCGGTGACCCAGCAACAGTCAAAAGTCATCATGAAGTATGAATAATCACTTCAGTGGGATCTTACAAAACTAGCACATCAAAAGTAATCTCCATTAATTGCCAGGGTAGACAGGTCACCCCGACCTTTGAAGGAAAAAAAAATGCATGTGAACCACGGTATGTGAATTTAGCATATGCAGCCCAGTTTTAAACAATGTCCAGTTACTAACTCGATTGTCACGACAGCCCGTCTAAGTGAGCACTGTGGTCACTCCCATGTTACAGATGGGAAAACTGAGGCACAAAGAGGTTATATTACTTGCCCAAGGTCACCCAGAGACTATTCCAGAGAGAAGAGACAGTTGGCTGTCCTTGGGTGGAAGGGGAGTGACTGTCCCAAGCAGATTTTCATGCCAAACCTTGGGGGCTCTTCAAGCGCCATCCTAAATCAGGCTGTGGTCCCACAGACTTCCTCCAAAGGCTGCCTGCCCCAGGTGTCACATTCTTTGGTTATAGGAAGGACAAGACTGGAGGCAGTATGTCCAATGATAAAGAGTACAGACACGTGAATGAGAAAGACAGGAGGCGGACAAGGCATGATCCCTGGTTCTCCAGCCTGTCTCACTGTCTCAACATTCTCCCTGCAGAAGCCCAGCTGACAACCACGGTAACAGGGGTGGGTCTCTAGTACCTGGTCTCTGAAGAGGGTGTAGGCATCCACGCCCTGGCCTCAGCATCCAGGAAGGCACACTCGCCGCCTCTGCTGAGCATGTTCAATTAATTACTGAGCCTCGGCAACAGCCCTGGGACCATCCTCTGCCACTGTCGCCTGCATTCTAAAGACGCAGTGATGTCCCTGGGACCCTTCGCCTAGCCTATGGATTGGGGGCAAAGGCTAACTTTCCCATTCAGCCTCGTCGCCCCCTGGCATTAATTGAATTCTGCTCACACACACACGGGGCTGTGAGAAGTGGTGCCGGCGGCTCGCTCTCCTCCCTCCAACGCTGCAGTGTCCCTGGGTTGCGACAGCAGACGGACTGCGGTAAGAAAGAGGCAGTTCCAGTCTGCTGCTTTCCCGTGATAAAAGGGCTTTGGAAATCATAGTGCGTAGCCCAGCTTCATTGAGGGGAAAAAACAGGCACCGTCACCACGGCG